GCAGTTTTATTTTCCCTTTTGCCATCTACTTTTATATTCGATGGGAAGAAGTGAAGACATGATATCTCCAAACTCTGAAAAAGCATGTCCAGAATCAGAAAAAGCATCTCCACCTAAACAGGTTATGTGTTCCTGATATGTTTTTATTGTGGAATTATATGTCTTTATCAACAACAAATGAATGATTTTTCTCCTTTTTGTTAAATACATGTACAAATAGTTTATGAATTATGATTGCAATAAGCAAACAGTACTACTATTTATGTACAATTTAATCCAACATACATACATGCATGTGTGCTTGCAGGAAAGAGAGAGGTCTGTTGCATTGTTTCTTTGGCAGATTAACTCTTGGAGTTCAAGATCTGAAATTGGACCACACATTGGCATTGGCAGGACTAGACAAACATTCATCTCTATCCCGACTAGGCAACTATTCAGGTTATTCCCTTTATGGCACATCTTCCTTTTTTGCATGACAATTACTTTAGTTGGACCTTAGGTTCAGAAAATTTTGTTTTTGCCAATTTTCTTAATTCACTAGCAATTTAACATTTGATTCACTTTCAGGCATATTATGGGCCTGGAGTACCCATGCCACCATCATATTTGAACTCTGTAGTCATGGCTAGTCATGTTCCTCATCCTCATGTGTGGGCACCACCACAGGTACTCTGGAGTTATCTGAGTTTTATACATAAAAGGATTTTCTCTTATATAAATCTTGTTGAATTGTTGCCTTTGACCAGTGGGCAAGCAATAGTGTCTACTACCTTCTTGGGCGATGGTCCAGATTGGTGACTTATGTACCATATTTGAAGGGCAATGCACCAAACCTACTGAACGAATTTGTGCCTAAGATCATATAACATTTTATCTCATCAAAATTTGATTCTATTTAGGTTAGAGTTTAAGTAGTCAATGACAATGCTAAGGTATTTGCTTAATTATTTCCTGGGAGCAAACTAGGTGAGGCAGATAAGTTAGCTTCACTACAGGAAAAATGAGTTTAGTCGACGTTTTTTTAACGACTTTTTTTTAAACGTCACTTTTATTAATATTTAGCGATGTTTTATAAAAACGTCGCACATTCATTTAATAAAATGACACCGTTTTAAAATATGAGGTGTTTAAAACTGCCTCCAAATGCGTTGTGTCTCACGCACCTATTTTGAGAATACATGTTAAAGCTGTGAAAACCCTTATTTTGAATCCTCACATCTTCACAATCCTCACGCCTCTCTCTTGCCCCCCCCAAAAAAAAAATTTGCTTCTAAACCCTTGAGAGCGATTTCAATTCGAAGCGATTTTTTGAGATTCATCATTGATATTCATACAGATTCAAATGTGAACAATTTCATTTTTGGCATGTTCAGTGATTGATTAGAAAAGAACCAAAAGAAAAAGGGAAAGAAAATTGTTTGACTTGATTAGGAAGCTGTCACCAAAGCTAGGTTGATGTATTTTTTGTTGTCTTCTTCTTTTTCTTCTTCTTCACTCCAATTTTTTTTTTTTTTTGGCAGTTTTATTTTCCCTTTTGCCATCTACTTTTATATTCGATGGGAAGAAGTGAAGACATGATATCTCCAAAATCTGAAAAACCATGTCCAAAATCAGAAAAAGCATCTCCACCTAAACAGGTTATGTGTTCCTGATATGTTTTTGTTGTCGGAAATGTCTTTATCAACAACAAATGAATGATTTTTCTCCTTTTTGTTAAATACATGTACAAATAGTTTATGAATTATGATTGCAATAAGCAAACAGTACTACTATTTATGTACAATTTAATCCAACATACATACATGCATGTGTGCCTGCATGAGAGAGAGAGAGAGAGGTCTGTTGCATTGTTTCTTTGGCGGATTAACTCTTGGAGTTCAAGATCTAAAATTGGACCACACATTGGCCTTGGCAGGACTAGACAAACATTCATCTCTATCCCGACTAGGCAACTATTCAGGTTATTCCCTTTATGGCGCATCTTCCTTTGTTGCATGACAATTACTTTAGTTGGACCTTAGGTTCAGAAAATTTTGTTTTTGCCAATTTTCTTAATTCACTAGCAATTTAACAATTTGATTCACTTTCAGGCATATTATGGGCCTGGAGTACCCATGCCACCATCATATTTGAACTCTGTAGTCATGTCTTGTCATGTTCCTCATCCTCATGTGTGGGCACCACCACAGGTACTCTGGAGTTATCTGAGTTTCTATAGTCATCTTCTGCACGTGGCATTTCTGTATGCCTAGCTTGGAGCTATGTTCCAAATGCAATATTTGTTGAACTCATTCTCTATTTGACATATAACTACTGCAGCATGTGATGCCACCTTATGGGGTGCCTCTGCCTTCTATTCTCCTGGAGTTGTTTATGCTCATCCTACAGTTCCTATTGTAAGTCATGCTTTTTCTTTAGAACTTCAGTTCCCCACTTGCAAACTTCTATTTGTGGGTTGTTTTAAATCCGAGTGAATTCTAAACACAAAATAGTTCCAGAGTACCTTCTCTACTTTAGAGAAGCAAGAAACGTATACTATTCAAAATTCATCAACAACTATGATTGGTGCGACTTAGTTTCGTACAATTGTTGAAATTTTTGTACTTTTCAAACTATTAGTGCGATGACACTTACATCACCACATTGCATCCCTCTTTCTCTTGCTGATATGGGAAACAGTTCCTCCAGTCAGATTCATCATTTAAAGTAGTCTGTTCTATTGCAGAAATTTTTTACTCCATGCTTGCAATATTCCCAATATGCCATTAATCTGTCCATAAAATCTTTAGAGGCGAAATCTGCACAACATTCTCGTTGCTTAGAAGTGTGATGATTTATGAATTTTTTGGGCTAGGATGATTAACTTGAAGCAGCAGTTTGCTCTACAACCATAAAGTCTTACTTTGGCGACTGTCATGCAGGTTGCAACTCCTGTGAGTGCACAAATGCTTTCTACTTCATCAGACAACATGAATCAAGGCTCAACAAAGAAGTTGAAAAGATTGGATGGAGTTGCTATGCAAGTAGTCAATGACAATGCTAAGGTATTTGCTTAATTATTTCCTGGGAGCAAACTAGGTGAGGCAGATAAGTTAGCTTCACTACAAGAAAAATGAGTTTAGTCGACGTTTTTTTAACGACTCTTTTTTAAACGTCACTTTTATTAATATTTAACGATGTTTTATAAAAACGTCGCACATTCATTTAATAAAATGACACCGTTTTAAAATAGGAGGCGGTTAAAACCGCCTCCAAATGCATTATGTCTCACGCACCTATTTTGAGAATACATGTTAAAGTTGTGTAAACCCTTATTTTGAATCCTCATGCCTTCACAATCCTCACACCTCTCTCTTGCTGCCCCCCAATTGCTTCTAAACCCTTGAGAGAGATTTCAATTCGAAGCGATTTTTTGAGATTCATCTTTGAGATTCATACAGATTCATCAGAGCAATTTTGATTTGAAGCTCTGATGCTCTCTCTCTCTCTCTCTCTCTCTCTCTCTCTATTCATCCTTTGTTTTCTGCGATATCGATCTAAAGCTCTGGGAGATTGAGAAGAGAGAAGAAGAGTTGGTTTCGATCGCAGAGGAAGTGATCTCAGGAGAGGCTATGCTTGATTTCTTAGATCGGTCTCAAAGCGATTTTGATTTTGAAGTTCTCTCTCTCGATTTCGAAGCTTCACTACGAGGTATTGATTTCTCTCTCTCTCTCTCTTCTTTCCCCTCTCTCTCGATTTTGTTGTTCAGATCTATTGCTTATTTGTGTTGTATGTATGTGTGTGTACATATATATAAATGTTTGGTTTCTTCGTTTTTTTTCCCCCCACTATGTCACTGTTTAGCTTACCTGAAATCTGAGTTACATTTTTTCTAACTTTCTGATATGTAAAGTTTTTATTTCCTCAAACTCCTCATTTATGACATCTACATACTTAGCATTTTATTTTATTTTTTTCTATGAAGAAATGATTGATTGGAATATGCACCTATAGTCTACACTCCTACAATTGGTCTTGTTTGCCAAAACTATAGTGGATTGTTTAGAAGGACCAGGAGGATGTATTTCAGTGCTGCTGATCGTGGGGAAATGATGTCAATGGTGTATAATTGGCCAGCTGATCAGGTCTGCAGTACTTTTGATTAACAATCTGTTTGTTAAAGCTTTATAATGATTGTTTGATGCATCATGTTGTAGATTGGAACCTTTCAAGCTTTTCTAGACATCAAACTTTTGACTCATAATATCTATTACTGTTTTGACTTGCAAGATTGTTCCATTACTCTTTTCCATCTATGACGAACTGGGAATAACTTAGCTTTAATTTTTTTTGGTTTCTCCCATTCTTCGAAGTGTTTCTAAAATATAACAGCTATTAGCTTCTGTGTCCTTTTCATTTTGGTTTCATATTTCCAATCTTGAATTTCACTTTTGCTAGATGCCTGAATGTTTCATTTTTGGCTTTCATCAGATCTCATTTACTAGTTGCTTACCATGAAGTTTGCTATCTTTCAGTGTTAGCTCGCTGCAAACATTGTACTTTACTTACTGTACTTGATTTTTGATCACTGCTCTAGAGTGTTGATACAGAACCTTTTGTTGTAGGTTGATATGATTGTTGTAACAGATGGAAGTAGAATATTGGGTCTCGGTGATCTTGGACTGCATGGTATTGGAATTGCAATTGGGAAGCTGGATTTATATGTTGCTGCTACTGGGATAAATCCTCAAAGAGTATCTTCTTGCTTTACATAGCTTTGTATTTTGCTCTGATATTTCAGATTTATATTTTTGTGAACAAATGCATGTAAAAACAATAATATGCATAACTGACTTTGAGTATGATTTGAACTGGTTTTATTTATATTTCAATCTTTTCTATACATAAAAGGATTTTCTCTTATATAAATCTTGTTGAATTGTTGCCTTTGACCAGTGGGCAAGCAATAGTGTCTACTACCTTCTTGGGCAATGGTCCAGATTGGTGACTTATGTACCATATTTGAAGGGCAATGCACCAAACCTACTAAATGAATTTGTGCCTAAGATCATATAACATTTTATCTCATCAAAATTTGATTCTATTTAGGTTAGATTACATTTGTTTTTTCAGCTGATGATTCTATTCATCAAAATTTTATTTTTGTTTCTCTCTGTTGGCTTAAAATCTTTCATTTGATTGCAGTATGAGATCTGTAGCACATATATAATGCA